GCAACACCTACAATGTAGTATAAGAAGATGGGCATAACCAACCCTGGCGGATAGCCAAAGACACTCCCACGCACGTCTTTCTTTGCTTATCAAAAGATGTCTTCCCTACCGGTACCTCCACCGCTTCCTTTGCATGAAGCGGACCTCGTGGCTGCTGAGGTCAAGGCACCGAGCACTAACCAAAATGACCTTAATTCGTCCGAGCAAGATGGAGACAGCAGCATCGACCTGCGCATGGAAATTTACGATACCAGTGCCATAGACCCTGTGTTGGCAAAGAAAATGGCACTGACGAACAATGCCATCGACGAGATTGGCATGACCCTTTGGCAATGGAAGTTATTCTGTCTGAATGGGTTTGGTTACGCGGTAGACTCAGTGAGGTCTCCTTTCTTCTTTTGTCATCTACTCGAAAAATCGATCGTCAAAGAAACACTTTACTGACATCATTCTTCTTCTTCTTCTTCTCCCTCTTTCCATAGCTGTTGATTGTGTGCCAATCTATTGCACAACCGGCCGTTGCTCAAGAGTTTGGGAATCCCAGCAAACAAATTGCCGGCGTCGCTCTGGCGTCACAAATTGGCTTGTTAGTCGGTGCCGCCGCCTGGGGATTTAGTGCCGACATCGTCGGTCGACGGATAGCGTTCAACAGCAGTCTATTCATATGCGCACTGTTTGTGCTCATTGGTGGCGCCATGCCGAATTACATCTCCTTTTGTGCCATGTAGGTTTGTGCGAAGAACACTATACATCACAGCCAACGCACCTTTCTGGCAAGACTGATTTTCGTGTCACATACGTACAGGGTTGCTATTTACTCGGCCGGTGCTGGAGGAAATTACATCCTCGACGCCACCAACTTGATCGAATTCCTCCCTGCGAGTCATTACTGGCTAGTGACTTTCATGGCCGTCTGGTGGGCCGTCGGATACATGGTGACAGGGTTTCTGGCTTGGGGATACATGAGCAACTTTTCTTGTGACCCCGACGCCACCGTGGCAGAGTGTACCTGGGCAGACAATTGGGGTTGGCGATACCTCCATTTCACCTGCGGCGCCCTCGTCCTCGTCGCCGCCACCCTCCGTGTCCTGATCGTCCACATGCCACAAACCCCCAAGTGGTTGATCTCACAAAACCGCGACGCCGAGGTCGTGGCCAACCTGGCGAAGATTGCACACAAGTATGACCGCCCCTTTTCGTTGACGGTGGAGAAGTTGGACGGTCTCGGCCGTGTACTGCACACCGAAAAGAGCGTCGTTTCTGCCTTGAGGCTGAGACAGCACTTCTCTCAACTCTTCCAGACCAGGCGTCTTGCCTATTCCACCATCATGATCATCGCCAACTGGACCGTCATCGGGACGGTGTCACCTCTGTTCAGCATTTTCTTGCCATACTATTTAAAATCTCGAGGGGCAGATGTCGGGTCAAATAGTAATTGTGAGTTTCTCTCCTTGCCCACCCATACATGATTGTTTTTGTGCGTTGCGTTGTACAGAACCACCGAGTCATTGACCATGGATGTGTGTGGACGTTTCCACATAGACACCGTCTGGCGCAATTACGCACTCAATCAACTTTCCGGACTCTTCGGCCCTCTGATAGCCGCGGCCCTCGTCGAAACTCGTTACTTTGGCAGACGAGGCACGCTGGCCGTGGGCGCCGCCATCACGACGGCTCTACAGTTCGGGTACACGCAGATCAAGACGCCCGCTCAAAACGTCGGCGTGTCCTGTGCCATTTCTGCCGCGAGCAATATCTACTACGGAACTATATACGCTTACACGCCAGAGATCCTACCCGCCGCGCACAGGGCCACAGGGTACGCCCTCTGTGTGGTCCTGAACAGGGTTGGTGGCATCGTCGGCGTCCTGGTTGGGAGTTATGCGAATGTCGAAACGACGGCACCGTTGTTCATTTGCGGTGCCTTGTTCGGGTTGTTGGTCGTTTTGAGTCTATTGTTGCCCTTTGAGACACGCGGACGGAGAACGGTGTGAAGAATTTCATATTGGCTATGGCACTTCTTCAACAACATTGAAGGTCTTGCATTGCGCCACAAATGAAGAACTCGGCCAGGGGTAGGGTCAGGGGTCCCATTAGAGCGTTTGGACTATTTACGTATAGATCAGGATTCTGTCACTCGTCCATCATTACTTGCTTGTATCCACGTAGCGTAGTAAACATGTATTCAGATCACAGCCGTGTTTAAACCTAAGTCAGTCAAAGCAATTGGAATCTAAGCCATCTTCTCAATCACATGAGCATCTTTATCTGGCCCACTCGACTTGGTACTCGCATCACCACCTTCAAACCCAACAGTCAACTCGGTCGTCTCGAACCCCCGATCGATGATCTGCTTGGCAGCCTCGACCCGCGCCTCGAAGGGCAGATTCCGACTCTCCTCGTCGTCGCCTGGGACCTTCCAGATGGTAGAAATGACGTAATACGCCAGACTGCCAGTGAGGAAACTCAACAACCAGCCCAGCGCGTACATGTGGGTGGCGGCCTCGCCGATGTCATGCCCGAAACTACCCGCGAACCCGGGCAAGGGGAGCAAAAATCCAATCACAAAAGCGGAGAAGGCACGCAGGTTGAACCCGTGAAAAAAGTAATACCGGCCGTGTGGGGAGAGTGTGAACAAGTCGGGGAGGACGAGGTTGCCTTTGCGTACGAAAAAGTAGTCGACAAGCATTATACCAACAACCGGACCCTGGAAGATGGAGTAGCCGCCGAGGAAGTTGAGGAAACCGTTTGCCGTCGAGACGATGCGCCTGCGTGTCGAGAGACCATTAGTTGAGAATATGGTATATGTCATGAATAACGTACCAAGGAACAATTGAAAACGCAATGACCAAACATAACAGTTGGCCACGGATGATGTTGATGTACTTTGGTAACAAACACGTAACGTCTGCGGCAAATGGGATAAAGTTGCATGCAATCGATGTACCGAGGGTGGCGAAGGCGAAACTAGCAGAGGCGAAGAAGACGCCAGCGCGCGCTTTGGATGAGTACGATTCGTCGAGGATACCATTGAGGAGATCGTATGGATTCCAGTAAGCTTGACCATACATGTTCAACACGGCTGACTAGTCAAGATGAGCAGGATAACGTTAGCGTCCGTTTACTTGACATCCAATGCCGGGTAGGAATCGTTCCACAAGGAATATATCATAATGATCAAAAGAATTAAAAGGATCACGAGGACATACAGTTGAAATGACACCAAATGCAGCACAGAGAGTCTGTCCAATTGGCAGACTGATGAGCTGTCCCCAGAGCTGAGCGTTCTTGGTCTTGGAGTATCGCGCCAAATCAGGCACTGTCACCAAAAGTGCCGAATTGGCTCCCATGACCGAGTTGAATTGTGAAATGATACCCCATGCCAATACCGAGGTAGAGGGTTTGGCACCCGAATTCTCGAGACTTCCTGAAGAAACACCACCGTTCTGGCTCGTGGCCCAGATGACGATACCCAAGCCAGCGGCAGGCATGATGACGGACTTGACGCTGAAGAGATGTTGGATCTTGGAGGTGTGAATGAAGAGGAAAGGGATCGTAAACAGGAAAGCCAAGAAGAAGCCGACCATGACTTGTGTTGTGATGTACTGATCTGCCGGGATACTGTTGTGGATCTTCTCCCAGCCGGGGAAAATGCATCTCAGGCATACCGAGATGAACTGGCCTTCAAAGTAGAGTTGTACGCCACCCCAGATTATACCCAGAATCGAACGTAGGACAACAACAAAGTACTCGCCGTAGATGCCGAAGCTGGACCGGGAGATGACTGGGTATCCGATGTGGTATCTCGACGCAGCTCGACCATTGAGGACGATGACCACCGCGGAGAGCAGGTTGGCAAAAAAGACGACGAGTAGAGCGTCGCGGATGCTTGCACCCAAGGTGATGAACGCGGCACCGACGGACCATGTTGAAACATTCCAGGACTCGCTCCACCAGTAGGCGAAGTAGTTCCAGAGTGTCCATGTTTGTCTGCTCGGCGGGGAAGGTGCGAGATCTTCGTTGATCAGGATGGACGTCGAGCTCTTGAGTCTCAGGGCTTGGTGGAATGCGGAGGGAGATGTGAAGGCGTGTCTGAACCGTTGCCACCGCGAGGGACCTTCATCGTAGGCGTCCATTGTCAGCGTCGTGGATGTTGAAACACGAGAGAGTATGGTCACGAGAGAAGAGACTGTTGGTAAGCGAGAGAATCGCAAGGCCTAGACAACAGCGCTATATGTGTCATGTCCCTGCACAGAGTAGCCCTTTCCGTGGGTACATGGCTATCGTGGTATCCCAAATTATCTTCCCCGCAGACCAGGTCTGGATGCATGGTCTGCTGAGTGCCATGTGAGCGGCCAGAAGGAGCAATGATGGTGAAAGGGGACAACAAGGCAAATGATCTCCGTACTATCTGATTGCCTCGACATCCTTGGCTAGAGTGGGCATATCCCACGCAACTAAGCCAGCAACTGATTTGGGGTTAGGGGTCCCAACGCTTGAATCGTCGTGTTGTCGCGTAAGTGGCCTTGGCTGGACGCCGGTTGCCCTCGAAGAGGGAAAGCTTCAATGCCTTATGCGTGTTGAGTGCCTCTATAGGATGACAATCGGTCCATACGGGATGGGTGTTGCGCGGGCAAGTGAGAGCGAAGTCGCCGGTACTATGGCCAACCTTTGCCAAGGTATATGTCGTATATCTGCGCGGATGAAGGCAACCAGGTTGCAACAGATCTCAGTTTCATTGGTTGTGTGAGCTGTCTGGAGACCTCCTTCAGAGTCAAAAGAAAAGCATACTCGTAATTTGCAGATTCACCTATGAGGTGGCGGCGGAGTAATTTGAGCGTCGCTTTTTCCATTACTTCACGAGTGTCCCGTTTATGAAAGCTTTCTTGCCAGGGCACCCAGGAGGAGAAGGGCGCTGGCCCGGGTCATACAGTTTCCAACGCACTATCCTTCTTAGACTTTGAAAGCAGGTCAATCAAAAGTGATTTAGCCGGCTTGCTTCAGGATATTTGTCTTGTCAACCAATCATGCAGAATCTGTTCCGAAGCTCTGGCACGATGATGTGCCCACCAATATTCGCGCGACGGAAGCAGAATCCCCACGGCACGGTAGAAGTGGTACAGTACAATCAGAGCCCGTAGGTCGCTTTGCTGAACTTTGAAAGCAAATTGTCCGTGGCACATGACTGGAAACAGGAGGATGTAGCTGGCCAACTCGGGTAATATCGTCTTGACAAAAGAGTTGTCAATGCTCTGAAGTTCTCCATTTGGCTGCGAATGGTTGTTGGGAAGAAATGATAGAAGGAGTGATAAGCCAGTGATGGCTCGCTCGTACTCGGCCATCTCACCTCCGCCATTTTCACGCTCAGAGACAGCAGGAGTGTCATCCTTCAATTCATGATGAGTCTCCCTAACAGGCTCTGAGTCGACCATGTCGCCAAGGTCGAGTAGATCTAGGCTGACGGGACTGCGCAAAAGACGCTCTCGGTACTTATTCCTCAGTTCCCCATTCTTCTGTTCGCTCATTGTGGTCAGGAATTCGATGGGAGAGTTGCATCGTATGTGCGGCATGCACACCGACGATTGGCCAAGTGCGTGTGGCACGCATTTTAAGAAAACTTGCTTCATACTTGAGCAGTACGAGAATAGATGATCTGTCAGTGCGTTCACTGTATGCATATTGCAGGTATCATCCCGAGGCGTCATAAAATCGTCACCCATCCAGAACTCGTAATGGAGCAACAGGGACGTGAGAATGAAAGCATCCAAATGCATCGAAGGAAACGGGCGAGACATTTCATATCGAAATCTGCCCAACGTCCGGGACAAATGATTACTGGCTGCTGCGACGTACGTCGATTCTCCGGGCTGTAATGAAGCACGATGACGAGCTGCAACGCACAAAATTGCATTCATCACATAATCGAAATGAAAGGAAAATTGTATTGCGTGGGTCCAAAATTCTGATTCACCAACGAGAGTATGCCGTGTGCTTGTTTGAAAGTGATGAAACAGTTCCATGTGCAGCAGGTTCACATTGACGTCCACTGACCTCGATCCAGTCCCTGGGATAACGAGCTGACTCGGAGATATTCCAATCGAGGTACCCGATGTGGGTCGTCTTGTCCTACGACAGGAGTCTTTCCTCCGCGTACAATTTTCACATGGTGTGCCTTCATTGCACTATCGTGTATCACATGAGCAAGTGAACCTGATTTACGTCTATGAGGGAGATGGCCTACCTTGATTCGCCGTGCCCTACAATTATCGCATCCTGCTCGGGACTTCTGATGGGCACGTCGTTGCCGGACTGTCTCGACGTCGAGAGACTTGGGAACTTCAAGAAGACCTTGTGTCGCGCCCGAATTAGAGGATAGAACGAACACGTTCGTCAAATCGTTGAAACCAGGGTCAGGTTTCGCGTTTGCGCGCGCCTTGGGCATGGCTGGTCCGACAAGGAGATGGTCTAGTTCCTCTTTCGCAAAGGGATTAAGTCTATCGTGGATGGGTAAAAGGTGACAAGATGTGCAATAGTCTGGATCTCTCGGCGTCATTTCGATCTTGCTTATCTCCGCCTTGTGGCCGGACAGATGACTAAAAATTCAACTTAACCTCTTCGGGCCCGTATTGTTCATTGCGGTTTAGCGCTGCGATCTAAACATCCAGACCTACTACTGTGATGCAAAGGTCGATGAGCTGCTGAGAGCTGTCCAGGTATAAAAGACATCTGTCTCTCCTTTCATCTGTTTAGTTCCTCTTTCCAGTATGCTGCCACACAAGTCGCGAACATGGTCGACCTCAACGAAGTTATTGAGTCCAACAAGCACATTGCCTCGTCCTTTCCTACCGGCCTGGTAGCCGTCTTTGTTGGAGGTACCAGTGGAGTCGGAGAATACACTGTGAAGAAATTTGCCTCGAGAGTTACCAATTCTCGAGTCTACATCGTCGGTCGCTCTCAAGAGGCGGCCGAACGGATCCTGGACGAATGCAGGAAGCTCGGGCCCAGCAGCAAGTACGAGTTCATTAAAGCAGATGTAAGCTTGATGAAAGTTGTCGATCAAGTCTGCACACAGATCAAGAGCAAAGAGTCTGCGGTCAACATTCTCTTCCAAACTCAGGGTTCCATGGCTTTCACTTCAAGTATAGTCCTACACCTACATTCTGCTGCCTCGTAACCTAACACTGAACAGCGACTGCTGAAGGCCTACCGGTGGCGACTTGCCTGCCTTTACATTCGCGACAGCGTTTCATCGTGAACCTTTTACCTCTGCTCCACAACGCAAAGTCATTGCGCCGCATCGTCAGTGTTGGAGCGGCAACTTACGAAGGCCCGATAGACTTAGACAACATCTCCGGCCAGGGGTTTGCTTTGCGAAAATGGCGCAACCAGCTCTCCTCATGTCAGTCATTGCTTCTTCAGAGATTAGCCAGGCAGACACCTGATGTGAGCTTCGTACACAACGTTCCCGGTGTGGTCAGAGGTGGCATTATGCGTGAGGTTCCAGCGGATACCGGTCTTGGGCTGCGGGCCATCATGGCAATATCTGGTCTGCTCATGCCACTGATTGAAACACCTGTCGACGAGTGCGGTGAACGTCATCTATTCCTCGCCACGAGTGCCAGATACCCTCCCGCTGAGGGCAATGAAGGCGCAGATGGCGTAATGTTGGGTCAGGACACGCCTACAGCCCGGGGTCTTGACGGACATGCGGGCAGCGGAGTGTACTCGTTGACAAGTAAAGGTGACAGCGCTGCTCCAAAAGTCGAAAACATACTCCGACAATTCGAAGAGAACGGCACAGCTGCGAAGGTCTGGGAGTATGTTGCTGCAGATTTCAGGAGGACAACTGGGACGGAGATAGGATCATAGTGTGAAATGGACCTTTGCGGATCCTTATTTCCACCATCTCCGAGGCATTTGTGAAGTCAACAGAAAGAAATATACACGTTTAATATTCAATTTCATCATATTCAGCTGCACTCATAATTAGCTACACCCCACACCATGCTCGATAAGTGACGAAAGATCAGCCTCAACGTTGGTCGAAATCGTATTCCATATTGTTCGATATCCAGCACAGCCATCCTCACCGAGATTGAGCACATGTGGCTATGCAATGCATATTGTCACCTTTGGATGATGATCAGTCGATGATCAGTCGATCGATTCGTCCAGGGCTGGGAACAGATATACTTCTTGGCCGATGTATCCGTGCAATCGTCTGTTGATAACCTCGGGCATTTCGTCCGCCTTTTGCATTATATACGCCATGGCGTCGAGATCAATACTAGGACGATTGACGCGATCCCAGTTGGCAACACTGTCCGGATGTAGAGCAGCGAATCTTTTCATCTCATCTGCTATAAGAGGCTCCTGACTTTGCACGAAGGCGAGTAGGCTGTGGATATACAGAAGTTCCTTATCAGCACTCAAATCTGTGTCTTTGTTGGACCATTGTCGAAAGAATTCGTCCCGACTCATTGGGGGAGTTTTCTGACCATGGTCTTCAAACCATTCTGAGTCATCCATGTACTGCCGCAAAAGAACGGATAGTCGCAGGGCTGCTCCGTATGCTAGCCGAACAAACATGAAGATTCGCATTAGCTCGGGGTAAGGACACGGATCGAGTGTCGGTAAGCCTCCTTTATTGTTGTTCGAACTTGAACCTTCCTCTTCATCAGTCGAGTTGAGCGGCAGGTCATAAAGATGCTGAAATGTTTCCAGCTCTTCCAAGTATATGCGTAGAAAGTCGTTGCTCGAGACCAGTTCTGTGTCGAAGGACGGTACCATCTCGGAAAGACCCATGTTTCTCAGGTGGATCGAGTGTCCCAAGAATGTTACGTTGCATTTTCAGGCTCATTTGTATATTCTGATGGCCAAGGCCGTTGACGGTGATCTTAATATCGATCCTGAAAACAATGGAGCTGTTTCTTTGACAATTAGATCGTTCCATGACATGTCTATATACTCCAGTCAACCTATTCCCACAGACATCACGGTAGAACGAAACAGTGAACAAAGAGCCTTGGTGGGAAGAGCAAAGCTCTGGGCCCAGACAAGGACTTATTGTGAGGGTATAAACGGGTGAACAGAGTCAGTAACAAAGGGCTTGTCTAGTAAAGGCAAGGGGGACAGGCTTTGTAGGATTGTGGGACAAAACATTGTTGGTTGGACATTGTCGAATCGATCAATCTGTCCTACAAAGCTTAACAGGTGGTTGTCTCATCTTTCATGGCGCTGGGCTAAAGCAAGACCTCAGAACTGCTTTGTTCATCTCTGGACCTGATCATTGGAATTTTCCGCATGGAGCAGGCTTCCTATGATGATAGGATAATTCAGGATTTCCCTCAACGTCAAAGACGGAGTGATGTGTAAAGAGGAGAAAGTGAAAATTGCTCAGATATCTCATACGGCGCATTCTCGCGTAGCCGGCTCAGTAAAAGAGCCAAATTGGCCCAAAGAGGCAATCGTCTAACCTTAACGGGAATGGGTTACATCACATGCTGCATATTGGAAGGTTTGCCGGATCTCACTATTACCGTTGGCTGCGTTCCTAGGAGCCATTGTCCTCTCTCCTTCCTTCCTATCAATTCGTCTATTCGTCTATTCCTATACCCATCTCATATTGTTGCAACTATCCCGTTGCTTTGCACTCAAGTTTACACTTGCCAGAGGTTCCACTCCACGGTTCTTCTTTTCCGGTCGACAATATTATGCGTGGGCTTCATGGAGACGATCAGCAGGTGGTCGCGCGTCGGGGTGAGAGGAACAGCCATGAACTTTCGACTGTCACAGACAGTATGGACAACACGGTTGCTACGTTGTCTGAAGAGCAGGATGGAGACCTTAAAGCCTGGCTGCGGGTGCTAGGCAGCTTCTTGATTTTCATCAACATATGGTGTGCTTGACTCGCGTCCTTGATTTGCATATTAGTGGTGTAGCTCACCTCTCTACAGGGGCTTTGTGTTCATCTTTGGCGTTTTTCAAAGCTTTTATCAACTGTCATACATACCCTCCGAATCACCATCCTCGATCGCTTGGGTTGGGACAGTCCAAAGCGCCCTTCTATCTTTGATCGGTGTACTTGCTGGGCCTCTCTTCGATCTCGGAGCATATCGCTCCATGACCGTTGTCGGTGCATTGCTTGTGCTAGTTGGCCTCTTTACCTTGAGCCTGTCCACGGCATATTATCAGATCTTTCTAAGTCAGGGCGTGTGCATCGGGATTGGAGGAGGACTTCTCTACGTCCCTTCCCTGGCTCTAGTCAGCACATCTTTCAAGAAAAGACGCGCACTGGCGCTTGGTACCTTGACTTGTGGGATTGGTATAGGTAAGTATGCCTATTTCATCAAAATCACTTGATGCTAAAGGCCTGTGAAGGTGGTGTCGTCTATGTGGCAGTTTTCCAATCCCTCCTTCCCCGAGTCGGTTTCGCTTGGACTGTACGTGTCTTGAGCTTCATTGCTACAGCTATTTTCGGATTAGCTGTGCCTATCTTGCTTTTCAGCGGCCCAAAAACGCAACGAGCGTCGTCTACTCGAAAACTGTTTGACAAGACGGCGCTACAGGATCTTCCCTTCATGGTATATTCGTTGGCGTCCTTCATAATATTCCTAGGGTATCTGGTTCCATTCTTCTACATTCCGTCTTACGCCGAGGTTGTTTTGGAAACACGAGAATCCACAGGATTTTGGGCATTGGCGGTGGCCTCGGCCACCTCGATCGTGGGGCGCCTGGGGTCGGCTCTTCTCGCACAAAGGGTAGGCATCATGGTATCTTGGGTTACTTGCTCTGCGATCTCGGCAACGCTGTGTCTCTGTTGGATTGCCGTACGGAATATTCCTGCGCTCTATGCATTCTGTGCGTTATATGGTGAGTTGCCGTTGTCCTTCTCTACTCGTGGCAAGTTAGGATAAGCCAACGTCTATTCCAGGTTGTTTCTCGGGAGCCTTGGTTGCACTTCCTCCCACAGTCTTTCCCAAGATTTGCAAGGATCCAAATCAACTCGGTACATGGATGGGAATGGGTTGGTTCGCATCCGGAATCTCCTTCTTGATTGGAGCTCCGATCGCCGGAGTCTTGATCAAGACCAACACTGCTGGTCATGATGGTTACAATTTTCTAGCCGTGCAGCTCATGAGTGGGCTGTTACTTGGAGCTGGCACAATCTGCTTACTAGTGCTGTGGGCACTCTTGGTCAAGACTCGAGGGGAGAGACTTCTTGTCTAGAGGAGTTCCAAACTCCATGGCGGATCACGTTTTCTCAGAATAATTCGTGGCCATGAGCTTTCATAATATCTATATATACTGCAAGTTACCTCAAACAAGATGATAATGCTGGGTCAAATAATGACAATGAAAAACAAACTGGTTCTCTTACTCGCAGGAACACTCGCCACTTCGTTAGCCTCGAAGATATATATAACCTTAACCTCCAATCTTACAGCGGAGGCGGCTGCCGACCCGCAACAATCTGCTCGACACCATAAGCAAGCTCCAGCAACGTCTGCTCTCGGTACGGCAGACCCAGCAATTCCAGACCAACCGGCAGGCTCGGACCTGCCCCGTCCTGCGTTAGCCCAGCAGGGACAGAAATCGCAGGCATGAGAGATTGTGACGCGACAAGCGTATTCGTGGGGAATTTTCCGGCGAGCCATCGTTGAGCAAGGACATCCTTGAGCAACGGTGCAGCGATCTGGCAGTCTGGGAAGGCCAAAGCGTCGAGATCATATTTAGCTACGAGCGAGACGACTGCCTGCTGAAGCCGATCGCGGGCAAGCAGCCGTGACGTAAAAGCTGGATCACGCTCCGGCGTAACGGGACCGAGGGCAATGTCTTCAAAAAGGTCGAGGGCTGGGTGATACTGCTTCGAGTCGTGGATGGTCTTTGTGTCGGTTTTGAGGAATGCGTGGCGGGCGAACCACGCATCCAGATCGGACCTCGAGCGCTGTGGGTACGTAAAGGTGAGAGAAAGGATCTGCGCAAGGTCTGGGAGCTGGACATTGACCAGCGTCGTGCCGTTGTCTTGAAGTGTCTGGAGTGTGTCGTTGAAGACTTTGTTTACGGAGCGGCAGGCCGGGTCTGACTCAGGCCCGAGGGTGCCCTCGAGAATGCCGAGTCGTGCTGACTTGATTTTGCCCACAGAGAGATTGGCCGCGTAACTTCCTCCCTTGGGTGGGCCGGAGATAACGGCCGTTGCGGTGTACGGGTCTCGTTCGTCGAAGCCCGCGAGGACGTCGAGCATCAGCGCGGCGTCGGTAACGGTGCGGCACATCGGGCCGGGAGTGTCTTGGGGTACGAGCAGCGGCGAGAGGCCGAAGCGACTGATTGTGCCCGGTGTGCAACGCAGACCAACAAGGCCGCAGAAGAAGGATGGCAAACGGATGGACCCGCCTGTGTCCTCGCCGATTCCTACCAGGCCTAGATCTGCTGCCACAGCCGTGCCGGTGCCGGAGCTGGAGCCTCCCGGGTCGCGTGTCAGATCGTACGGATTCTTGGTCACTCCGGACACAGAGGATGTTGAGTGCCAGGATGTCGCCCAGTCTGTATACATCGGTGTGGTGAGATGGCTTTCGCCTCAACGATGGTTTGGGCAGTAGAAGGGATTGATGGTCGAATACTTACCTGGCATGGTCGTCTTTGCGAGAACGATGGCTCCGGCTGCTTTCAACTTGGCGACGAGAGCGGCATCTTCCTTTGGGACGTTGTCTTTTGCAACAATGGATCCGTACGTCGTGGTAAGGTCTGCGGTATCGGCTTGGTCCTTGATGACCACGGGTATACCGTGAAGACTGCCCTTGAGCGAGGACGTGCTTTTGAGGTGTGTATCCAGCGCATCTGCTTCAGCGAGGGCGGTGCTGGAGACGGCGAGGATGCTGTTTAGGTTTGGGCCACTGGCATCTTTGTCCAGTCTTTGGATCCGATCGAGATAGTACTCCACCACTTGTCGAGCTGTGAAATTCCCACTTCTGTAGCCATCATGGGCCTTTGAGATGGTTAATTCCCGGAATTGTAAAGCCATTGTCCGTATGGAGACGCTGAGCAGTGAAGTGTGAAATGTATCTCTCGCTGAACGAACTTCAGAATCAACTCATTAAAGTATGTATGTGTAGTTATCGTGGTGGTAGCTTGGTCGCCGGACATGGCCGCATGGGAGTCTCAGCAGCCTTCAAGTCCACATCCGACAGAGGAAGTAGGAGATTGTTTTGAATTCAAGAGTCGGGAAAGATGCATATCTGCTTTCTACAGGCATACCCTGTGGCACAATCAGTCGAGAATGTACTCCGTACTCCAGTGTCCAAATGATACACATGACTTCGGACCTCGAAATCGAGTAGCGAGGCTGAGGGAGGCTGGGACGATGACTAATAAGAATCCGGGGCATCGCTTTCTTGGCGAGGAGTTGATCCGAGTCACCGATCGCGCGTAGACAATATTATGGAACATGTATCCATCACAACCCTTTATATGATCTGCACCAGGAGGTCTTCTCCTGTCTATTATGGTATGGGTGCATATACCTAGTTAATCGGCAACACAATACTCATGTCTCGACAACCATCTTCCATTGTATTTGGAAGAGATGTGGTTTCTTGAAGGAGTCCTACTTGTCTTATCTGTCCTCGATGTCACTGCGGCCACCACCTCGACGACTCTCCCTCCCGGCACCTGTCCGTCTCGAACTGCCAACTACATTACACATAGCCTCCGACAGCAATGTCTGACTGCCTCCCGAAAGGTCAACTTGACCTCCACCTCCTCTACTACGCCCGACGCAGTAGCTGAGTCAACGGCGAACCTTGAATCTGTTATCCAGATCACCACGGACAATTCAAACGCGTCCTCCCTTGCGTCTCCGACGCCCACGCCCTCCTCCACGTCTACTTCCGAATCCGAAACACTTGTTACCGAACAATCTTCTACGACATCTGACCCAGCCGATGCAAGTATTCCTCCAGCCGAGGCCACACAGGATGCCTCGAACACGGGCCCCGTGCCCGCGGAGGAAGACTCGCCGCTAGAGGATGGAAAATTCTTGTCCTTTGAAGATTGGAAGAAGGAGAACCTGAAACAGGCGGGACAGTCTGAGCATGTGGGACGAGGTCATGGAGTCGAGCAACGAGAGATCAAGAAGCGGCCAACAATTGACCAGGATGCTTTGGATGCACTTGGCGATGATGCAGAGATCGACCTTGACTTCTCTGGCTTTGTTGCAGATAATATTGAGCCTCCAACGCAACCGCCGCCACGAACTAGTCAGGAGATGGGAGATATCCCGGTAGATCAGAGTCGGGCTCCAAGGGCAGATGTTCGAAGTAAAGATGCTGGTACCACATGCAAAGAGAGGTTCAACTATGCTTCTTATGACTGTGCAGCGAACATCCTGAAGACAAATCCCGAAGCCAAAGGCGCGAACGCTGTGCTGGGCAAGAACAAGGACTCTTATATGTTGAACGAGTGCTCGGCCAAGAATAAATTCATCATTCTTGAGCTTTGCGATGATATCTCGATCGACACAATAGTCCTGGCAAACTACGAGTTTTTCAGCTCTACATTCAGAACATTCCGTGTCAGTGTATCGGACAAATACCCCATCAAGATCGACAAGTGGAAAACACTAGGCACTTTTGAAGCGCGCAACACGCGTGATATGCAGGCATTCTTGGTCGAAAACCCTGTCATATGGGCAAGATATCTGCGGATCGAATTCCTGACCCATTATGGAAACGAATACTTCTGCCCGGTTAGCTTGGTTAGAGTTCATGGAACAACGATGCTTGAGGAATACAAACATGACCTTGCATCTCTACAAGGAGAGGAAGAGGAGGAAGAGATCGAAACATTAGATGGCAACGGCGAGGTTGGCGTTGATGCCTTGGTCCCAGAAGCTGTGGCAGAGCCATTGTTGACAAAGGTCGAAGCCGTACATACTGAAGCGTCGCCGGAGCCATCTATCGAACCCGAGCAGAGCGACTCCGATGAGCCTCGAGCTGAAACCTTGGCCGCAAATGCTTCGCAGTCGGTCTCAGTCGAAGGGGTAAACAGCAACATGCCAACATCTCGAGCAAAACTTTCTCATACGCTTGACGAGCTGAGCTTGGGAGATGGCAAGAACGAAATGTGTGCTAGCCTCGAAGAGGGCAGCACCTCGCAAGCGACCCAAACTCAGCAGTCGACGGAACAATCTCCAAGTAAGGAATCCACTGCTATCGTTTCCTCGACATCGGCAGTACCTGAAAACGACACCGACACATCATCCATTTCGGGTTCGTCGGTAAAGGAGACCGGATCGAGTACAACAGAGTCGCTAAATCACACAACTAAGTCCGATTTGCAAAGTGGTTCGGCGTCCAGCAAGACCTCAACCTCTCCAGAGTCAATAATTGGTGCCAAAATTTCGTCTTCTTCCACGAACCCTCCTCCTGCAGCTCCAACTATGCAAGAATCCTTCTTCAAATCTGTACAAAAGCGTCTGCAAATGCTGGAATCGAATTCGTCGCTGTCTCTCCAATATATCGAAGAACAATCTCGTGCTCTCCGTGACGCTTTCCAGAAGGTCGAGCAAAGGCAGCTAGCGAAGACCACGTCTTTCTTAGACTACCTGAATGCAACTGTCCTGAATGAGCTTAGAGATTTTCGGCAGCAGTACGATCAACTTTGGCAATCCACCGTCATCGAGCTCGAGATACAACAAGAACGTTATCAACAGGAGAATCTGGCCATCAATGCTCGACTCGGCGTTCTTGCTGACGAAGTCATTTTCCAAAAACGGATGTCCATTCTACAGATGATTTTGATTTTGATCTGCCTCGGTTTGGTGCTATTCTCCAAGGGCTCCATCAACAGCTATCGTGAAATGCCCTTGATACAGAGTGTCCTCGCCAGGTCCCCGAGTTCGAAATGGCTCAATTTGACCGGACTGGAGTCGCCTTCCCATAGTCCGCTTGTTACCAGAGCCAACTCCACGGGAAGCGGATGGCGGCGGCAGGGGGTTTTGAAGGGCCATCGCCGTCTTCCGTCGGAAGACACTGCGGACGAAGGACTTAGTCCATCAGACCCTTATACCCCGCTTACGCCCGTCAGTATAGACGACCCACCGCAGGTTGAGGATTTCAAGGACTGTGACCTTGGTGATCCTCAATTTGATCCAAGTCTCATCGAACGCCCTGGCACGAGCCCGCCCGTCCTGTCTGCGTTGGACACACCCATGACACCAAAACTCGAACCTGAGTTGGGAAATCCTCCGATCGATAGCAACCTGACCATCAATAATGTGGACAAAACACCCCCGATGTTGGTCGTCGAGGACGCCACACCTCCTTCGAAGCAGCTGAAGTGGAGTCTGCCAGACGGCTGAAGGTAATGAGAATATTACTGTGGAGCAATCCTACTTATCTACTGCTGAAGACGGAACGGATCTACAAGTGCAACGGCAGTGCATGTTCTCACGTCTCCAGTTTTATGGTTATGAAGGACCACTCTGGCCAACACATCTCCTTTAGATCAGAAGTTACTATCAACTTCCGACGCAAAGAGTTAACCTCGCCACGATTTCTAACTTCTAAGATGTCAAAACTTACCACGTTAAAGTCAGCCAGGTGGGATTCTGGGAGGGAGCGATGGAGTTCCCTTCCCCGGGGTGAATGTGTCTGGCCACGTTTGGGGCAAGATGTCCCGCCAAGTAAATAATGCCAGCAGGAGGATACTACGGCTCAATAGACGTATTCCGCCTTTGGAATCTTTCTGTTGGTACTTTGAGGTAGCACTCACTTATCCGGAGTGGAACAATCAAATGCCTTCGGAGGTGATGCGATAGGCTACAGAGTGATTGATTTCGTTGGTGTTTGAAAATGCTACGGTGCTCCAAGCTGGTCGAGCGAGCCACTTGGGCATAAACCAGCAACAAATCCAGAGTGGTGGTGCAGCAAGGTTACAATGGGTGTGTGGTACGTAGATGTCGTCCGTAGCCTTATAGGTAAAGGAAACATGGATCCGATGGTATGCTGTATCTCGTACTCTTCAGGGCGTTGCTACTTATGGTAATACCCCACGTCCCGGACCGATACATCTCTTCCTTGGCATCGTCGGCCTCCACGCCCTCCACCTCCGCACTTCCTCTTCCTCAAACTGCTACTTCACCCTCGCACGCTGGTAGAAATGTCCAGATACATGTTTGTGATGAAATTGGAAAACACCCCACCCGTGGTCTGAACCGTCCAGCATGGACTCGGATGACAGCGTCATCAACACCAGGGGTGCGCGCGCAAAGAAGACCCAGCGCCACCAGTGTCGATATTGTGGAAAGAGCTTCAGTCGCTGTGAACATCGAACGCGACACGAACGGTCCCGTGAGGTTTCACTAAATCCTTCCCAAAATGCCAGGTCGACGAGGTTCTGACTGTGCGAAACTGCAGATACCAAGGAAACTCCCTACTCGTGCCATCATTGTCCAAAATCCTTCGCGAGAAAGTGGGTAGAATATCTGACGATGGCATAGACTTCATCAGAATATGCTGACTTATTCCCAAGGGATTTACTAGCACGTCATATCAAATCCTTACACGACGGGGCAAATGGATTAGAAGCCAACGATGACCGAAATGGTGCGACAACCCGAAGCTCTGCACGAATAGGAACAAAATGGCACAGCTGGAAACCACCAGGGACGATCGAGGCGCAACATCGATCGGTAGCGGCCAACCATGTCGAAACCCAAGATACCCAACATCGACCATCGCATCTCGACCAGGCATTCAATGAATCTCTGATGGACCAGGATTTCGCAGAGTCTAATCACATGGGCATGAATGGCACTCAAGACCTCCAAGCATCAGATTTCCTTGGAGCTGAGGATTTTGACGCCGACGCAGTCATGAACGGCATGTTGCATTCCCTTAGTTCGAATGATCCTTCGACCTCTGCTCACCAAATGTCGACTTTAACGGATGAGAATAACATGAACAGCGCTATGGGTCAAGGGATGCTGGAACAGTTCCCGGAACCGGACTGGATCAATCAGTTTGATTTCTCCGTGGCGACGTACTCTTCGGTCTTTCAGACAGCTTTGCCGCTCTGGTCAACGATAACGTGGAGTCCGAGCACCAGTTCTCTGATCCAACCTCCTCAAAGCCCCGATGAAAATGCCAAAACAGGCACACTACATAAGACCTTGCCGACACCAGGTAGCGGTCAAAGAAATAATTTCACATCAGACAGGCCTGAAGGAGCTCTACCACTCCTAGACCGAGTGTTTGCCCAGTCTTCAAGGATTGGACGGCCTGGACAGGATCATCAAAACACAATTGCCTCTCAGACATCACAACAAGTTACTGCTGAAATTCGAAATGAATTGGTTGCCAAGTTGAACATGTATGCGCATCTGTTACCATCCGGTTTCGTTCTTCCCTCCCATCATGCGCTAAACAGGTACACGACCATGTACTTCGACGCTGGGGCTCAACATCAACCATTTATCCACGAACCTACGTGGTGCCCCAGGACGTGCAATATCGGGTTATGCATGGCTGTCTGGTCCTTGGGATCGAGGTATTGCTTTGAAGAGAAGATGTCAAAACAGTTGTGGAACGTTGGCAAAGCTATTGTCCGAAGTACAATGGATGAGACTGATCAAAGAACTACCGATCTTTCCGAACAACTTGGAAATACACATGCCTCTCAGGACTTGTTGCAGACCTGCCAGGCTCTTCTATTGTTGATGATGTACGGTACATGGGCTGGAGGAAAGCATTTCTTGAGACAAGCACTAGCCATGCAGAGTGGTCTTGCAGCGGTACGTCCTACCAGGAAGCCTCAGCTCCAGTGAGAAGTTCGCTGATAACCTTTGTAAGCTCGTGCGTGAAATAAACCCTCGGACCCCTCCAGAAGGGGAGTTCTTGAATTGGAAAGATTGGGTGGAATACGAAGCGGAGAAAAGGTATGTAGGTCTTGTTCCAGGTTTTCTGCTGGTGATTAACTCCATCACAGAACGAAGTTTGTCGTGTTTTGTTTCTTCAACCTACAATGTCTCACGTACGATCTACCTGCGCTCATCCTGCACAACGAACTGAACCTCGAATTACCTTGTGGGGAAGAACTATGGCGGGCCTCTTCCAGTGCTGCTTGGACAGCTAGACGGCAGCAAGATCCCAACGGCACCCCTCCTTTTCAGCAAGTCATGAAGGCGCTTCTCGATGAGCATAGCGGTATGACGGATGGTACTGATTCACATCCTCCGGTAACAGAAATGTCATATTCGATCTTCGGCAGTTACATCTTGATAAATGGCCTCACGCAACACAGCTCTGAGCTTCGCCGTTACGCACATTCCATGTCAGGCCATGAGGGCGACCTCAATTGGGAACAAACAAAATCGTTCGAGAAAGCACTGCGCAGATGGCAAAAGGGGTGGGAGAATCATCCCAAGGCTTCCCTCGACCCTCACGACCCACACGGCCCCTTGGCATTCAACTGCACTGCTCTCCTCCGAATGGCATACATACGTCTGGAGATTGACCTTGCACCGTACGCCGCTGCACTTCGATCAGGAGATCCGCAGGTGGTCGCACAGACAATGTACGACGCACCGCATGCCAAACGGAGCAGACGGTCCATGAGGGCAGCTTTACATGCCTGGCATGCCCTGCTCATCCCGACTCGGATGGGGATAGATCTCGTGGCACAGACTCAGGTCTTTCTCTGGTCCATCCAACACTTTATTGCGTCTTTCGAGTGCTGCTTACTGCTGGCCAAGTGGCTTGACTCAGTGACGGTGGAATGCCCCTCGCCGCCCATGACAGAAGAGGAGCGTTGGCTCGTCCAACTTGTCCAGGAAACACTTCGAGAGGCTGGTAGTGAGGCGGTCGACGACGTGAGGACTCTCAGCTCGAGCGTTCTGACTACATGGGCACGCTTGTTCTACGGCAACAAAATTTGGGGCATTTTGCCTCTTATTGGGCAGGCACTTACAAGGTTCGCAGAGTTACTAAGTAATAGATCACTGCCGGGTGCGTGAAAGACGGCAGTGGAAAGACTTCAATCTATCCCCCGAGGCCCTTTCGAAAATCGACCGTGGTGAATCCTTCGTCTGGCAGTTTGTCGGAGAGGATTCAGGGTACTGTTCATATGGCATCCGCACCCGACAGGAGCGTCTTCACGGTAAAGGTACCCCTTGGAGTCGTGGTTGTTCCCTGTCCCTGGAACCTTCCGATGGCTATGGCGTTGAGAAAATCGCGGGCGTCATTGGCGGCAGGTTGTCCCATGATCGTCAAACCGTCTCCTGAAACTCCGTTTACCACCCTCAGTCTCGCGTACCTCGCCGAGAAGACAGGGTTCGGTCCTGGTTGTTTTAATGTCATCACCACCGACTTGGAGAACAATACGCCTTCACTGTGTGAGGCCATCTGTAAGCATTCCCTCGTTGGTAAATTGACATTCACCGGATCGACTCGGGGTCGGCAAGTTGAACGCGAAACATTGTGCCGAAGGACTCAATAAGGTCACGCTCGAGTTGGGAATAAACTGTCTCTATACGTCTTTTACGATGCAGACCTGGAGCAAGCCATCTCCCGATTGATGGCGTTGAAGGTTAGACACGCCGGACAGGTGTGTGTCACGGCCAACCGTGTCTACGTTCAATCCAGTGTGTAGCAGAAATTTGCCGAGACGCTGGCGGCTGCCACCAGAAAACTGGAACTGGGCCACGCAACGGCCAAGAATACCACGATGAGACCTGTGACCATCCCTCAGTTTCTAACCAAGTTACAACGACAAGTCGACGACTGTAAGCAGCACGGCGGGAAGGTACTGGTCGGCGGTCAACAGGTTGACATTGGCAAAGGCAAGGTCTATTTTTTCGCTCCCACCATTCTAGTCGACATGGACAATGACATGCTCGTAATCCGAGAAGAGACGTTTGGTCCCATATGTGCTCCCTACAAATCTGAGACCGAGGAAGAAGTTGTCAAATACGCCAATGACTCCTGCGTGGGACTAGGCAAGTTACTTTTCACCAAGAGTGTGGGCCGGACCTGGAGATTTCTCGAGAATCTACAAGAAGCTATGGTCGGTATGAATACTGGTTAGTCTAGTTTAGTCACTTCTGTTTTGTTTTGTCTTGTTCTGTTTTACTTATTGACGTGCCCCTAATAGGTGCCTCGTCAGGGGCAGGAAATCCTTGCAGAGGAATCAAACAATCAAGACATGGACAAGGAATCTGGCAAAGATGTTGCTGCTGCAAGAATATCTGGTGACCAATATTGGGACATTGAATACATATGAACGTTTTTGATGATACTCGAGCTCTTGTACGGAAAAGACAGGCCACATGAGACAGATTTATGCCACGCCGAACATGACTTGTATATCTTGCAGAGCGTCTGGTGTATCTGAACCTACTTGAGGTTGGACAGAGTTTTAATCCTGCTTACTCTTTTAAAATATACATTGTAAAAAAAAAGTCCATGTAGAAACAGTAAAAGTAAAAAGATTCTTCCACGGTTTGGGGACAGTGGGTGGGGGTGGGGGTGATATCGTGGGGAAAAATGTCAACATATAGACAGAAGAAACCCCCCACTTTTATACCTTCCGCTTTTGGAAAGACAACTCGAGACCATTGCAACGAATACTTTGCCATTTTAGGGGGGAGGTGGAAAACACCCAGTGTCCTAGATTCTTGCAGGTTCTTCATAAACGTATTTATTGGAAGGTGGACAAAGGCAATCTCGAACGTCGTGACCGGACCCCTTGTCTCGAGACACTTGTAAACGAACTTCTCAGAGGAGTTAAAAAAACCATGACTGGGAAACGATTGGAAGGAAAAGTCGCCATCATTACAGGTATGCTTCAACCCAATGATGCCAGTGCTGTCGAATGATATGAAGATGATACATTGAATCTCATACCTCCTGACATCAATATATGATGCGTTTTTTGCGAATCTAACCTGTGTTGTTCGTTACAGGTGGCGCATCCGGCTTTGGAGCGGCGACGGCCTCACTTTTCGTCTCGG